CAGCAGCCCAGGCCCTGAGGGACAGTCACAGCTCAGCCAATGAGAAGCCGCTATACTTTCAAATCCCAGTTTACTGCAGTGGACTTTTTGTGTAGAACAGCCTTCCCAATGCCCACTCTCCTCTAATAAAGGAGCCTTCTTCTCCTTTGCTCGCTAGACCTGCTGATGGTTTTGCTGTAGCTTGTGTTTCCTGGATGGCAATTCTCTGCTATTCCCAGATAAATGCGTTTTGTTGGCAAAATAACTGACAGGTGTTTTTTTGTTTTTTTTTTTTTAGTTTATTCATTTATTTGAGAGAGAGAGAGAGAGAGAGAGAGAGCACGAGCAGGGAGAGGGGCAGATGGATAGGGAGATGCAGACTCCCCAGTGAGGGTGGGGCAAACTCAGCTCAATCCCAGGACCATGAGATCATGCCCTGAGGCAAAGTCATGTGCTTAACTGACTGAGCCACCTCGGTGCCCCGACAGTTTTATTTGTAAGGTTCACGATGTCTTCACTTGGGAACGCAAAGTCCTGGCACTTGTTAGTCTTTAGATCTCAGTTTGGTAAGGAATCCAGGTTCCCGTTTGTGAAGCAGGGCCGTGGCGCTGCACTGTCCTCAAGGAGCACAGGCCGTGGAGTGAGGGACACCCGGTTTCACTCTGGCTCCAGCTCCCAGCCAGCTGTCTGACCTGGAGCAAGGACAGGCTCTCTGGGGGCTCCGTGTCCTCAGGTGTTAAGGGGAAATCGTGACCTCTGCCTCATATGGTGGCTGTGGGGTTGAGGTGAGCAGGGCGGTAAGAAGCCAAAGCCCACCCTGGCACATTTGAGGTGCTCTGGAAAGTTCTGCTCAGGCTTGGTGCTGCCTGTAGGAGACAGTCACGGCCCAGTACCTCGGGGAGGCTACAGGCTCTGGGCCAGAGGGAAGTGCATGATGGGTCATTCACTGACGGTCAGTGATCTCATTTGGGGAACACACAGAGAGCAGAGTCCCCCTCTGGGCCAGGGATTCGCGGAGGGACAGAAGCTTAGCCCTGTCTGACAGGGTAGCTCTTCCTGGGAGTCCTCAGGGCTGAGGAGCTGAGGCAGAGGCTGAGGCAGATGAGCGCTAGGCCCTCCCTCCCCTGGCAGCTCCTGTCAGGGAGGGAGAGTGAGCAGACAATGTTCCAGATCCAGGGTCAGATGCCAAATAAGGACCAATGGCAGGCTGTGGACCGGGGGCAGCCAGAGTCTGTGGAGTCCGGGGGCAGCACTGGAGGAGTGGAAAAAACTTGGCTTCAAGCCTACCTTGCTCAGAGTGGTTCGTCCAGGTCTGCCTTTATTTGCTCATGACCTGGGGCTATGTACCTAACCGCTTTGTGTTTCCACATCCCCTCCTGCAAACCGAGGCTCCTGAGAGCATCAACCTCCCAGACTGCTTGTGAGGATTAGAAATAATTCATTTGATATTTGGTAGAAACTAAGTGGAAGCTGCTTATCTAGGTGTGAAAGATCAGTGAACCGGACACTCTCATGGATCTTCCATTCCAGTTGGGAGAGAACAACACTAGAGAAGCAGAGGGACTCTCCGTTAATATCAGCACAGTGTAAAGAAGTTGAAATTGGAGAAGAGATGTGAAATGAGTGGTGTGGAGCACGTCTGATGTTGAACAACAATGTGTGACGGCTACCCTTTCCTACCATTATGCGGGACAGAAAAAGTAGCGGGGCTTGTTGGTTCGCTGGTAATGTATTCCTCTTTGTTGTACTATTAGGAGCCCTTTGTCAAGTAACCTGAAAACCCGCTAGTTCTGAGTGGGGCCTAGGATGGGAGAAAGTCCTCTGTTCCTGCACCGATGGCCTCCAGCGGAGTCTCCAAATACCACGTGGCTGGAGAACAAAAGCAAACCCCCTCTGGCCTGGATTACTGGCGTTCCTTCCAACACCGCACTGATTTTATATTGATACACAAAAAATCATCCCAAGTGGAGCAGCTTAAAACACCACACATCATTGCCTCACAGTTCTGCACATTGAAAGACCTGGAAGTCTCATCTAGCATCTCTGCTGAATGACTCACAAACCCAAGTGAAAGCCTTAGCTAGGCTGGTGCTTGCTTATCTAGAAGCTCTGGATTCATCCGCTTCAACTCGTTCAGGTTGTTGGCAGGTCTAACTCCTGAAGGGTGGAGAACAAGGTCCCCATTTCCTTGCAGCTGTCAGCCAGGAGGTGCCGTACACTCCTCCAGCCACCCCCTTATCTTCTTAGGAGCGCTGCTTTATCTTCATAGTTGTCATTGCATGGCACGTGCTTCTAGTGCTTTGAGTCTCTCTGACCTCCTCCTCCATTCCTTGGTAGGGGAAAGCTTTAAAAGGACTCCCCTGAGTGGGTCAGGCCCACCCACATTCTCTCTGTATCTCAGGGTCAACTGACTTGAGATCTTAATTAAATCAGCAAAATCCCGCCAGAACGGTACTCATACACGGTATTCATGTGTTTGAGAGAAGAGATGGGACTATGGGAGGGCATGATTAGAATCTTGCTGTCTTAGTCTGCTCAGGCTGCTTTAACAAAGTATGGTAGACTGGGTGGCTTCAACCACAGAAATCTATTTCTCACTGTTCTAGAGGCTAGGAAGTCCAAGATTAAGGTGTTGGCAGGTTCAGTGTCAGGTGAGGGCTCTTTTCCTGGCTTGCAGACAGCTGTTGCTGCCATGGTCTGAATGTTTGTGTCCCCCACCACAAATTCGTATGTTGAAATCCTAATCCCCCAGTGTGATGGTACTTTGAGGTAGGGGCCTGTCTTTCTGGGCTCAGTGGCTGGGAGGGACTGTCCCTGGTTGATGCTTGGAGTCAGGCAGGGAGTCTGTAGATGGAAGAGATGGCTACTCCTCTCTACATCAATCTCATGTACTTTGAGATGAGGCCTTTGGCAGATCTACATGAATAGGACTTTTGCCCTTCTAAAAGAGGCTCCAGGGGTGCCTGGGTGGCTCAGTTGGTTGAGTATCCAACTCTTGATTTTGGCTCAGGTCATGATTTCAGGGTCATGGGATCAAGCCCTGCATGGGGTTCCACCCTCAGCAGGGAGTCTGCTTGAGAGTCTCTCTCTCCCTCTCCCTCTGCCTCTGCCCCCAGTCATGGATATCTCTCTCTCTCTCTCTAATAAATCAATAAATCTTTTTTTAAAAAAATAAAAGAGGCTCCAGAGAGTTCCCTCATTCCTTCAGCTGTGTGAGGACATGGTGAAAAGACAGCTGTCTGTGAACCAGGAAGCAAGTTCTCACCACACACTGAATCTGCCAGTGCCTTGATCGTGGACTTCCCAGCCTCCAGAACGGTGAGAAATCCATTTCTGTTGTTTTCAAGTCACCCCAGTCTATGGTGTTTTGTTATAGCTGCCCTCATAGACTAAGACAGCTGCCTTCTCGCTGTGTCCTCACATCGTGGAGAGAGAGACCAAGCTCTCTGGTTTCTTCCTATAAGGGCACTAATCCCATCATGGGGGCTCCACCCTCATGACCTCATCTAAACCTAATTACCTCCCAAGGGCCCCATTTCCAAATACCCTCACATTGAGGGTTAGGGCTTCAACATATGAATTTGGGGGGAAGACACAAACATTTAGTCCATAATACTTGCCTACCACACAGGCCAAAAGTGGACAGCTGCCGCATTACAGTCCCACCTGGGACAGCCCTGAAGGACACTGGTGAAGGGTAAGCCTCCCAGAGGGTAGATCTGAGCAGAGGTACAAGTGTCCGGTCTTGCACAGGCTGTGTTCAAGTCATTGGCTGAATGGTCAGGGACTCTGAGGGTATGTGATTGAAAATCTGTGACAAGGAGGCCTGGGGAGGAAGTATGTGGATATACCCATCCAGACAGACATATGATACTAAGAGAAGTATGTCACATAGATGATCAGCAAAGAATAGTCTTGCCGGTGCAGAAGTTTAATAATCTAATGAATAAAGTATCCATTATCTAGATACCAATCAGCCTCTTCCTACAGCATTTGTATCATCCCCAGGGGGCTCAAGTGCAAAGTCGCCAAGGTGGCAGGGATGAAGATTATGCCAGAAGTCATGAATTCTAAGAAGCAGTATCAGCATCCAGCATAACTTGATTTTTCTCCTACAGTCAGGATTCATGGGTCTTGAAATCCAGGGGTGGAAACGGAAGAGCCTCCTATCACAGTTTATCCCTAAATTCTTCCCACCTTTATGACTTTAGGCTTTGCCAAACCAGAGGTCTTCATCCCAGAGGGAGACAAGCTTTCACGGAGGAACACACCAGTGATGCCAGTGAGAGGGAACTGGAACTGCAAGCTAGCCATTTTGGTCCCCTCAGTCCTCTCTATCCAGAGGCAAAGAAGGGGATCCCATACTGGCAATCAAAGGGCATCTGGGTTCCTGCTACACAGGAGCTAAGGAGGGGTATGCCCAATGTGTCTGGAGAACTTCTTACTACTCTCACATTTCATGCCTCGAGTTTGTGAAAAATGGCAACAACCCATTTAAGGCAGGACATCAAATGGCCCAGACGCTTCAGCAATGAAGTCTTGAGTCATTCTACCAGGCAAAGCACCATGACCAGCTGAGGTGTTGTCTCAGGGCAAAAGGAATAAGAGGCGGGCAGTGAAAGGAAACAGTTATAAGTTCCAGCTACAACCATGTGACCTGCTACAGAAATCAGGACTGTAATATCATTCAGCTTGGTAAGTTAATAACATCCCCCTCCTCAGGTAAGAGAACAAAGAAACGAACAACAAACTACTTTCAAAGAAAAGTGTTAAGGCTATAGCCCAGCTTTTACTGACAGAGAACCATAAAATTAAAAGTCTCCACTGCCTTTTTTTCTTAGCCTTTTCTTGACTGCAACTTTCTTGACTACAACATTTTAGGAGAGCTTCAGCAATATCTCATTCCATCGTATAGCATAGAAAATTTGTCCTTGCTTCTCATTGTTCTTTGCAAGAACACAATTATTTGCTTTCCTGATGATTAACTTTCTTGAGATGGCAGCAGGATTCTATTTTTTCTACTACCTTCTCAAGTTGCTGAATTAAGACTCCTCTTTTAAACCTGAAAGTAAAGACAAATATAAGTAACCAGAAGCTATCTAAAGCGTCTATGATGTGTAAGAGATAGTAGTGGATACACAATAGAGCTTACAGTCTCCATGGGAATAGAAAAATGCATCTTCTTTGAAAAATGCCAAGAGTGTCAATTGAAGGCCCATGCCCACCCCAGACTATGGCAAGCATGAACATTTCATGGGCTTGGAAGAATGGGTAATACCCACCAAAATGCCTAGGGAAAAGAGCATGAACTATGATTGAGGGCCGGGGTTTGAGGAAAGCAAGCCAGGGTTTGTTTGTGACCCTGTTCAGCATTGGACACAACTGTTAAAAACAAAAAAACAAAAAAACTGGAGAGTTCTTAAAAAAAAAAAAAAAAGAAAATGGAGAGTTCTTTTTTTACACCTACCTTGCAGCTTCCTTGATGGTAAATTCAACAAATTGCTTCTTGACTGCAAGAGGTCCTTGCACTTCTTCAGTCAAAGTGAAAATCCTTTCATACTCTGAAAATAGTTTTTAAAATTCAACATTTTTAAAAACATGAAGATGGTCTAGAACCCCATCTTAGTGCATCCACTCTGTCAGTAATCATTCCTCATGGGCTAGAGGGTTACGTAGTGTAAGGAAACTATTGTAAACACTAACCAAGCAAAGCGTACAATTTTAAGAGGTGTAGTAGGAATATTGAGACCAATTTAAGAGCGATCATCCTAAATTATGTAAAAACCCAATTTGGGGGGCGCCTGGGTGGCTCAGTCGGTTAAGCGACTGCCTTCGGCTCAGGTCATGATCCTGGAGTCCCAGGATCGAGTCCCGCATCGGGCTCCCAGCTCGGCGGGGAGTCTGCTTCTCCCTCTGACCCTCCTCCCTCTCATGTTCTCTGTCTCTCATTCTCTCGCTCTCAAATAAATAAATAAAATCTTTAAAAAAAAAAAAAAACCAATTTGGCCAAAGGATGAGTTCAAGAGGTGTGTGGAATCTATTCTAAATCATGGAATGAGAGAGACTTCCCATGGTTTTATTCGGAGCCATTCTTTCACTACTTACTTCATCCAAACTTCCGAACTTCCTTCATTAATTGATATTTTATATCACCATTAATTTTCTTTGCCATAGCAAGACTTATTTGTGATGCATTTGGCACAGCTCCTGGTGGAGACATTGCTGGGCTTTTTGGGTCCTCCTCCAAGTGAATTACTACCAGGTTTGCGAATCAGGCCATCTTTAGCGAAGTCATCAGCAGGAAACCCCAGTGGGTTGGGTGGAATACCAGCTCCTGCCCTATTCATCATAACTTCTGGCACAGCAGCTGTGATTTTCCATCTTCTTGTCACAGACATCGTGAGTGACAGCAGCACCTGGAAACCAAATTAAGAGATTGAGATGTGAGGTAGGTGCGTTTTGTCACCCCCACAGGGACATCCCTGTGCTCTGTAGTTTTGAGAACATGATTTATTTCATAAAGCAGGAGTATGTACCACGCAGAAATGTCTGATCTCACAAATAGGGCTCTGTAAAGATCATACCATAAATCACTTTTTCTCTCTTGGAACTATGAATACATACAGAAATGTAGTTGGACAGAACAACTAATAAGTAAACATCCACAGAGCCTCTAGCACTCATGATTTAAAGTCTCCTTGAGGCCCTTTACAAGGTGAAAAGCTGAACATCTCACTTGATGTCAAGATGTCTGATTTTGGGACTCCGTCACCAAAAATCCCAGTCAGTACATGATCTTCCTTATTTGTCTTTTCTGTCGCAGAAAGGTGAATTTCCTTTTACTCCAAGTCCAACACCTCTACTTCCTATACTCAACCTCCTCTGTGCCAAGCACCTTGCCAAATGCTGGGAGATCGGCGGGAAACCAGACGGACAGAAACGATCCCTACCCTTATGGAACTTACATCCTCATGGGGGAGGCAGACGGTACATGTAAAAAATGCAAAGGGATTGGGCGCCTGGGTGGCTCAGTCGGTTAAGCGACTGCCTTCGGCTCAGGTCATGATCCTGGAGTCCCGGGACCGAGTCCCGCATCGGGCTCCCTGCTCAGTGGAGAGTCTGCTTCTCCCTCTGACCCTCCTCCCTCTCATGCTCTCTGTCTCTCATTCTCTCTCTCGCAAATAAATAAAATCTTAAAAAAAAAAAATGCAAAGGGATTAACAAGTTTGTATTCGTGTTAGGAAGGATGGAAGCAGGGATGTGAGCGAGAGCGGGAGGGGAAGCGTCCATGATGCGTGGTCGGGCGGGGCCCCCTGAGGAGGTGAGCCCTGGGCAGAGCCAGGAACAGGAGACGGAGGCGGCCTGTGCACACGCAGAGGAGGAGGTCCAGCTGCCGGGAGGGCCGTGCAGGGTCCCTAGGAGGGGACGAGCCGGGGCCGAGGAGCAAAGGACAGAGGCAGAGAGAGCAAGCAGGACACGGAGAGGACGCATGTAGGAAAGGATGACAGGGTCAGGTCGTGCAGGGCATGTGGACCAGCATCGGGAGCTTAGATTGTTCTGAGTGCTGGGGGAGTTGATGACGGATGTGGCACGATCTGGTTTCTGTGTGGACATGGTCACTCTGGCCGCAGGACAGTGAATGGGTTAGACAGGGCCAAGAATGGGAAGCGGGGGGAGGGGGCGCCTGGGTGACTCAGTGGGTTAAGCATCTGCCTTCGGTTCAAGTCATGATCCTGGGGTCCTGGGATCAAGCCCGATGTCGGGCTCCCTGCTCAGTGGGGAGCCTGCTTCTCCCTCTCCCTCTGCCCCTCCCCCTGCTTGTGCTCTCTCTCTCTCCATCAAATAAATAAATAAAATCTTAAAAAAAAAAAAAAAAAGACTGGGAAACAGGAAAATCAGATGAGAAGCTGCTGTAGTAGCTTGGGGACAGATGGTGGCAGCATAGACTAGAGGGAAGGAGAGAAAGAAGCGATACAGGAATTCTATTGGGTGTCAGGTTGCCTGGACTTGCTAAGGGATGGAAGTGAGAGAAGAATAGAAGAATAACAAGAGGAATCATGAGTGAATCTAAGTGTTTTGGCCTGAACCACTGAAGAAAGAATAGTACAGGTTGTCTGCAGGCTGTTAGGCCACTGCTCACAAGGGTCCCAAGTGTGGTCAACCTCTCCTGATGCTGGTTCAGTGACCTCAGATTGGTCAACCTCTCCTGATACTGGTTCTGTGACCTCAGATTGGTAGCTTGAACTAAGCCATGGTTGGGACTATTTACACTATGGATAGATACAAATCTAAATATTGGGGCTTCTAGACCCTCCCACACCTCCCATACCTGTGGGCAGCAGAATGTTCCACCGATGAATGGTGTTATTAGCTGAGATGGAGAAGGCTGAGAGTAGAGCATTTTTGGAGAGGGGGAGGGTCAGAAGTTCATGTAGAACCAGTTGCATTTTAGATATGTAGTAGACACTGATTGGAGATGCCATGTAAGCCGTTGTATATACAAGACTGGAGTTCAGGAGCAAATTGTAGTCTAAAGGTACAAAGGTGAGAGTTCTTGTAGTGTGAATCCTATTTAAACCCTAAGACTGTGTGAAATCACCTAAGGAGGTAGTGGGTTGAAGTAAGAAGGGCCCAATATCCAGCTTTGGGCCCCTGAAATATTAGAGGTGGGAAAGAAGAAGGAAAAATGAGAAAGGGGAGAAGGAAAAGGAGTCACTAATAAGAGGATAAAGAATCTAGGAGAATGTGGTGTCTGGAAACCCAAGAAGTTTCCCATGGAACAGGAAGCAAACAAACATATCCCATGCTCTAACCCAGTGCAGTCTGGCTTCTCCTCACAATAGTCCAATGAAGCCATGAGTGTCAAGTTCACCACTATTGTGAGGAGAAGCCAGACTGCACTGGGTTAGAGCATGAACATGATGTGAAGACAGGCAGAACGTGAGCAGACCCATCCTGTTGTTGAGCCCATCATCTTTTCCTGCCTCAGGAACTGCTTATTCTAACTCTTACACCACTCCAAATGGTTGGACCTAACATAGAGACTTGCCTCCCCCACTTGCAAACATGCTCATATCTGTCCATCCCTCAAGGACATAACTATAAACTTCCTCTGGCATGGCTGAGCCCTAAAGATGGGGTTCCCACACTCCCCCCTGTTTGCTTAACCACAGTGATGTACTCTGCCTTCTCTTAGTTGATGAGTGGCTGCTGGGCTTTCCAGGATGCTTCACTTGCTTTTGATGCCCTGCTGCAAACTGATCTCCTTCATCAGTCTTTGTTTGCTGAAAAACATCAGTGCACATATTCCATTAAAGACAAAATCCAATCATTGGAAAATCGCACTCTTCGTATACCCATACAGCCATGTGTTTATATTGTTAAAGAAGTTTTAATCATCAGCCAAAGATTTATACTCACCCAGCCCACACTGTGTTTTCAGAAAATGCAATCCAATTTTAATTTAACCTAAGTGAAATAAGGAGAAGGTAAAATACAAGGTGTGGGTCCAAAACCAAACATGGGACAGCCACGGCTGCTAGGAATGCTGGAGAATGAGTGGCTCTCATCAATCAAAATTAGAAACACATGATTATCTCTTTGGAGAAGTACACACCATGTTGCTTCACATTTTGTTAGGGGAGAAAAAAATGAAATACCTTTTTTTGTCCTTTGTGCTTTAAATCTATTAACAAACACTGATTAACACTCCATTAAATGATACATGTAGATGGTAAGAGGTAGAATCGATTGAAAATGTACATCTCCCCATCCCAAACTTTATGGAGAATCAAATCTGTCATCCTTGGAGCTGGGTGGATGTAGGGAATGCTTTTCAGTGTTGGTGGTGGATCAAACATGAAATCAAGGGTGTAATTCATTAACTAACTTTTAATTCATTAACTAACTTTTCATCAAAGGATAACCCGAGAATATGCCCCTGCCCTACCTGAATACAGTTGAGATAAAAATATTTTCCCAAACCATTTGCATTTCCCATAAAAGAGGAATCCAGAATGGGTGAAAATGTCTTCATTGAGCATTTAGTCTCCACCAGATATTGTTCTCAATGCTTTACATTAACTCAATCCTCCACCAAGCCCTGAGTTAGGTGTGATTACTCTCTGTTGTTAAAAATGAGGAAACTAAGGCACAGACAATTAAGAAAAAGTCCAATTAACTGAGGAATTTGGGGTGAGGTGGGACAACTCTAAGTCAGTCTCGTTTTGTTACAGAAGAGATGGTAGCATGTTCTGTGCCTTTCTACCAATGATCTCTTCCATGAGAGCAGATACAATTCTCTTCGTCTTCATGCTTCACTGGTCAAGTCAGTATGTCTCTCTCACAGACACTACACACATCTCACACTAAGATGTCCATAAGGACAATCCAATCATGGCAACATCATCTAGTACTTCAAGTTTCAAGAGGAACACCTAGCCATTTTCTGGGTGGAGCACTAATGAACCCAAACAGCCAAAGGAATGTTGAAAAAGAAAACCAAAGGTGGCGACATCACATTTCCAGACTTCAAGCTCTA